CTTCTGCCGTTCGACCTTCGTCTGCCACACCACCCCATAGAGCGCTTCGTCCTTCATGGCGAGCGCCTCGGGGACGACGTGCATCGCATCGTCGAAGCGCAGCGACGAGTAGATCATAATCAAGATCCACCATGCGAAGAAAGCCATCACGAACTGGCTCGATCGGAACCTTGCGCGCACGAATCGCTCGACGAGCGCCGCCACCAGTGCCAAAGGGATCGGGACCGCCTCGCGCGTCTCTTTTCCACGATCGCCGTAAACCCTTTTAATTCTGTAGGGCCATAATACGAGCGTCGAGAAGATCCGGCCCCTGCATCCCGATCCTCTTGCAGATCCACTTCACAGCCCCCCGAACGGAGGGGATCACGGTGGGCCCGCAACCACGATCGGCCAGGTTCAGTAGGTACTTCACCAACACCTCCGTGGTCAGGGGGATGGCCATTATGTTCTGCGACCTAGCCCATGTCTCGAGGCGTTCCCAGTGACGAACGCACTGCTTGATCGTCCTGAACCCGCCGCTTTCATACACGATCGAACGCAGTGCATTCATCTCCTCCTGCGAGAGCGGGGATCCGGGTTTCGGCCCTCCAGCGATCGCGGCGTGCTCACCGCAGCGCTCGACGATCGCTCTGAGCCTCATGCCCCACTCCTCGCCGAGCTCGCGAGCCTTCAGAGACGCTTGCGCGTCTTCTCGGGGCTCGATCGTCCTGGGCCGCTTCGCGAGCGGAAGGCGCATCGGCGGCCCACCCGAGCCTTTCTTCGATCTGGCGGGGGATCGCCCCACAGCCACCGAAACCTCAGCCAGGCCAAAGCCAAGGTCAGTAGCCAGATCTGCCGTCCCCGTCTTGGCTGTGCTTCGAACGAGAGCGAAGAGTATCTCAATCGTCGGAACCCACTTGGCGAGCTCCTCCTCCGTCTTCCGCTGGGCTGGGGAGTAAAGAGCCTCGAGCGCGCTCGCACCAAACTCACGAACGCTTGAACACACTCAGCGGTCGTCCCATCCGAAACAGCACAGAGC